AAATTGGGGGAGTTATTTGGGCGCAGGAGCTATTTGGGCGCGAGCATTTATTGGAAGACTAGAAAGGGGGTTTTTATTGGAGAGAGAGTTGGTGAGGATTTATTCAAAGACAAAATATGAATATTAGACTTGCTCAACTAATTTTGTATTTGGGGGAGCTTTTGGGGAGTTATTTGGGCGCAGGAGCTATTTGGGCGCGAGCATTTATTGGGCCCGGACACTTGACTAGAAATGAGGCTTTTATTGGAGAGTGGTTGGTGAGGATTTATTTAAAAAGACAAAATATGAATATTAGACTTACTCAACTATTTTCTATAAATTATAATAGAAATTAAAAAATATTATTTTTATTTCAAAAATAAAAAATACTTAAGTTGGTGCGCCCCTTTTTCAGTATAGTAAAATTTTTCAAGCCCCAAAAGTTCTTTAAAATAAAAGTGTATGACTGTAATTATTTTTTTATTATTTTTTAAAATTATTTTTCATATTTATTTTGCTAAAATCTGAGAAAAAAATTATTTCTAGACTAATACACAAAATAAAAAGCCCCCCAAAACCCCTCCCTTCCCCCAAAACCCATTTCTCTCCCTTAATACCACCCAGTATTAAAATAAGTAAAATGTGAAATAGATATAGTGTATTTTTAAAAGAAAAGCTCACTTTACTGGGTTAGCCTTTTTGTGGCCCTTTTTCTAGCTTTTCCAATTGAATCGATGTTGGGAGAAAATTAAATAAAAAATAATGTTTTTAGTTGATGACGATGTGTGGGGGGAATGACGGCAAAATGATGTGATGTTTTTAGAATTATATATATTTTTTTGTTAAATATATATTTTTTAGTATGTTTTAAATAATAGTAATTTTGTTATAGTCTAGCAGATTCTCTAAAAATGAAAAAAAAAAAAATAAAAAAATTGTAAAAGCGTGGAAAAAAAGGGAGAAGTTGGAAGAAGTAGGAGTAAAACCGATGGTACTGCAACACCCATAAAATGGCCCATATTAAAGCTAAAATCGCCAAATTTTGCAGAGATATTCTCAATAGGGATGAGTACAATCCCTCAAAATTTCAGAATTTTTAGTTCGTTATTTCACGAATTATGACCAAAGATGGAGGGAAAGGTTGGAAGTATGAGAAAAACCACTTGGCACTGCGAGACACTCATAAAATAGCCATTTGAAGCTAGAATCGCCAAATTTTGCAGAGATATTGTCAATAGCGTTGGGTACAATACTTCAAAATTTCATAATTTTTGATTCAATATTGTACGAATTATGAGCGAAAATAGAGGGGAGGTTGGAAACAAGGAAGAAATAAAACTGTTGGCACTGCGAGACACTCATAAATTAGCCCATATTGAAGCTAGAATCATCAAATTTTGCAGAGATTGCCTCAGTAGTGTTGGGTACAATCTCATAAAATTTCAGAATTTTTGATTTAATATTGTCCAAATTATGACCAAAAATGCCGCTTTTTCTGGTAGAAATTGCAACTTTTCGTTATTTTATGATTATAATTTCAGAAATATAAAATCAGAAATTTGGAAATTTATACAGGAGTTAGTAGAGACATTGAGAAAATTTGACAAAAATGTTCACGTCTCCAACTCCACCCATTCACCCCATATTTAAGCACGCGCCAAAACACTTTCGCGCCCAAACGACCTCAACCTTTTAATATAAAACGTGAAGTTTGGTGTAAGAGAAAGTTTAGGGGGGAGATAAAAAAAAGGGTTCGAGTGCAAATATAAAAAAAGGGTTTTTCTGGGGAAAACCTAAAAATAAAAAAAAAAGAATTTTCTAGAAACTATTAAATTAATAAAATATTTATTTTATTTTATTTACAAGAATTAATCTTTAATTCTTTTTTAAATGCAAAAAAAGAGAAAATTAAAAAAAAGGGTGAAGAGACTCTGCAAATTAAAATATAAAATATAATTGCTGATTTGTATTAATTATTAATTTAATATATAAAAATTGCTGACTTGTTTAATTACCAGAAAATTGACTTTATAATTATTTTTTAATATCAAAAAGTAAAAGATAAAAATGAGGGGAGAGCGGGAAAGAGAGTCTCGAGAGGGAGGGAAGATAAAGGGAAATAAAATGTCTTATAATTTATTCTCGTTTCTATAATCACTCTTTAAGAGACTAAATTATTTCCTGAAATCTTCACTACTTTTTAAACAACTTTTAGTCTGCAAAAATTTTGCGGACGAGATTTGCGGACAAAAAAATTTTTGCGGACGAGATTTGCAGACAAAAAACTTTTGCGGACGAGATTTGCAGACAAAAAACTTTTGCGGACGAGATTTGCAGACAAAAAACTTTTGCGGACGAGATTTGCAGACAAAAAACTTTTGCGGACGAGATTTGCAGACAAAAAAATTTTGCGGACTAAATTTGCGGACAAAAAACTTTTGCGGACTAAATTTGCGAGAAATAACAAAGTTCCAAGTCTAAAGGATCCTATCACTCCCCTTAATATATTAATTACACCCTTAGTATTACTGACGGTCTTTTTATAAATATGAAGGGATAATAAAAACAAGTTTCGTAATTGTTTTGTTTATTTTGTTTAAGGGTCAGTTTTTGACTAGACGGTCAAATTCCAAAATTAAAAAAATAAATTTTAGAAAATAAATTTTAAAAATTAAATCACAAAATAAAAAGTAAAAAGAGTAAAAATAAAAATAAAAATGTCTCGATAAAAATAAAAAAGTAAAGTAAAGGAGTACTTTTGTCTATGTCCAGACAGCCCACTGCCTTTATTTTTTTTTGCTTTTTTTTTGCCCAAAAAGAAAAAAATGAGAAAAAGATGAGTGACTGCCCGTCTGCCTTTCACGTGCAAAAATAAATTTTTTTTTGTTTTTTTATTGATTTTATCGAGAGTCTTGTGTCTGGGGGAGTAGAAAAAGGGTCCAAAAATAACCAGACTTTGTGCAAGTGTGTGCAAAGAAAGGAGACTTTTCTTCCTTTTTTTGTTATTTTTCGTTTAGTATTACACTACAAATTTTTTTTGCAGTTGCTGCTTACTTCCAAATTATATCCAGTTTGGGGAAAATATCAACAAAAAGGTTTGGGGGAATGAGTTGGGGAGGGGGGGGGGCTTGCAGACAGTTACTCCTATTTTTTAAAAATGAAAAGTATAAACTAGGAGTAAGCCAAAACCTAAAACAAAATTAAAAACGAAATTAGGGAAAACGAAACTGCCCCCTCTATAGACTAGTTTTTAATAGAGTTCGAACTTTTCATCCCCCCAACGGATCTGGTAGCCGGTTTTTTGATGAAAATTTGATTGTCCGCAAATTTTTTTGCGGACAAAATTTGCGGACCTTAACTTTTACCTAAATATTATAAGTTTTATTCAAGTAATTTGGAGAGTGGCTCTATTCTATCCTAGGAAAGATGTTATAGGATGGAATGACTTCCTTAGGTCCTTTTCCTCCTTTCAATTCAAAGAGACAAAATAAAGAGATGAAATTAATTTTGGGTGGTACAGATTGGTATATTTTTGTGTGCATATTCGAGTGACTAAAATTTAAATTTTGGTCTATTAAAAGGTGTAAATAAAAATATTATTTTTCTTTCCAATTTATTTATTTTTTTGGGGATCGTAGATCATATGGAATGATTATATCAAAGTCGAGGGCATAGTCTCATTACACAAAAATCGCAGAAAGATTAAATAATAAAACCACAATAAATAAATAATAATTACATAATTTTTGTTCCTTATCGAAGAGAAGATAAGAGAAGAAGGGACTTGGAGTAGAGGGAAGGGAACACGAAGTAATGTGAAGGGAACATGAAGTAGAGCGAAGGGAACGTAAGTAGAGTGAAGGGAACATAGGAAGTAATGTGAAGGGAACATGGGTAGTGTGAAGGGGAATGGGGTAGTGTGAAGAGGCATTAAATAGAGTGAAGGGAACATAAGTGAAGGGGAATGGGGTAGTGTGAAGAGGCATTAAATAGAGTGAAGGGAACATAAGTAGTGTGAAGAGAACATGGAGTAATGTGAAGAGGCATTAAATAGAGTGAAGGGAACATAAGTAGTGTGAAGAGAACATGGAGTAATGTGAAGGGAACATAAAAAGTAGGGTGAAGGGAACATAGGAAGTAATGTGAAGGGAACATGAAGTAGAGTGAAGGGGACATGGGGTAGTGTGAAGAGAACATGAAGTAGAGTGAAGGGGACATGAAGTAATGTGAAGGGAACATTGAGTTAATAAAAGCGGAATATAAGAAGAATAAAGTGAAGAGAGGGAACATTTATAGCCTTTTCTTCCTCCTCCTCCTTTTATCTTTTAATCGGTACATTAAATACTCCCAAACTAGTTTATCGAAAAGATTATTTTTTAGAGGAGAAAGGCACGTGAATATCTTTTATATTTAAACATCTTTTTTGAATTGAGGGGGAAATTGAGGGGAGGGTGGGGGGAAACGAGGGGTAAAAGGGAATTTTAATTGAAGAGAGGTAAACTTGTACAAATATTTCAAAAAGGTTTTCAAGTTAAAATGTCACAAACAAACGAAAAAAGACGTATTTGGAGAGGGACTTTGACGTAAAACTCTCTCTACCTTTTTGACGCAGTTTGAAAAATTTTTTTTTATTTTCCTGGAATGAATAGGGAAGATTAATAATAAAAAATATTATTTTTTAAAAGTACACATAAACATTTTTTAATTTATTCCCACACACGCAGGCATATTTTTAATCCTTAATATTTGAATTTTTATTTAATCCAAGCCTTAAGGGCATTCCTCTCATGTTATCACTTTTTTATGAATCACCTGTTTATTATAAGGAATTTGTCTGGTCTTAACTTTTGGGAAGCTCTATCCCTTGAGAAAATTCCTGTTCTATCCTCATTATCCCTCATAACCTTCCGATCCTTTATATTTAAACATTATTTTGAATTGAATTATGTGGGGGAAATGAGGGGGAATTTAAATGAATAGGCATCTTTCTAATCCCTAATATTTGAATTTTTCATAACCTTTCTATTCAATACCTAGGAATCTTAATCCTATCCTTTCTAAAAACAAAAATCTCTGTTACCACAGCTCTAAAATCCATGTCTTATCCTTCAATAATCTCGGTCATATCCCGATTTATCCAAATCCTCTAGTAAATGAACATTAAAGATAGGAATAAATTACGTATAAGGGATGGGCTTTCTTCCGCCTTCTGTCTTCCACAGAATTGCGGCTTCTGACCCTTTGCCTTTTATTTTGTTCCGCATTTTTCAAGTTCCGTCTGCCGCTTTTAAAAATATGCCAAGTCCCAGTCTTGATATACATACTACATGTGGGAAAAATAGGAAACAAAATGGGCAAGAAACAAATTTAGAATGAGTAAAAAAAGTTACGAAATTTATTGAAGATAAATTGAAGAACGGGAGGAAAATATTGAGAAATAAATAAATTTTAAAAAAATAAAGAGACTCATTTAGAAAAAAAATAATTAAAAAGTAGACAAAAATAAACAAAATATTTTTTTAATGCTTACTAAAGAAAGTAAAATTTAAAAAAATTACTAAAATAGGAGGGATATTTAATTTAAAAAATAAATAAGAAAATAAGTAAACAAAAATAAACAATTTTTTTAAAAAAAGAAAACAAATTTTGAAATTCCCCCAAAATATATTTATGGAGTAAAGGAGCAGGACAAATAGGCGCCATTTTTTCGGCGCAGCATGTTTTCGGCGTTTAAGGAAAAAAGTTTTTGCTGCTGCTTTCACTAAACGCCGAAAACATGCTGCGCCGAAAAAATGTCCCCTATTCGTCTGCGCCTGTGCGATCGCGCCTATTAGTCGTGTAAACATGGACTAATGTCCAATGTTTTTTGGTCTAAAAATGAGTGAAATAAACAACAAAAAAATTATTGTTTATTTTTATAGGCACAAAGATTGTGTCACCTTTACGCCTACACACGTTCCTCTAGAAAAATATTTTTTTATTTTTATTTTTTTAATCAATTCTTCCTCGGGAATATTCGAGAATGGCCAAAATAAATAAATAAAATGAGTCATTTTCTGAAAAAAATTTTTTTTGTCAATTTTTGGATTTTTTGGTGATTTTGGAAGGAATAATGATGAAAAATGACCAAAATAAATTTATGAATCATTTTTCAAAAATTTTGGAATTTTTTGTAAAATGAGGGGAATTCATGATATTTTAATGAATTTAATATGAGAATTTTATTAAATTAAATTTTTTTAAAAAGAATTCAACGAAGGGGCTATTTTTGTGTAAAAATGTGTGGAGTAGAGAGTGTCAAAGTTTGCCAAATAATTAATTAATTGGTATTTATCAAAAATCAAAAAATATTATTTTTTGATAAATTTAAGACTGAATAGGCCAAAAAAAAATTTTTTTGAAAAAATTAGTGATCAGTTAATTTCATTTTTTAATTTGTTTTTGAAGGAAAATTGGTCTTGGACCAGTCGTATTTTTTTAGATTTGAGGAGAATTTTTATTGATAGACTTAAAGGGTTTAGCCTATTAAAGAAGGAGAATAGATGTGGATCTGTGCTCTCAGAGGCGAGATTAATGGAAATCCTCATTATTTCTGATACCGATTGCCCAATCTATGTAGTTAAAGTGGCTTAATAAGGTTGATCATTTGAGATTTTAGTTATTTTAGGTTCTAAAATAGTATCCCTATTTTTCCCCGATTTTTTAAGGGTCTGTTCCAATTCTAGTATTTTGGAAAGTATTAGTATTTGGAAATTCAAATTTAAAAATAAAGAATAATAAAAATAACTTATTATTCACACGAAGCAACGATTTCAGGCACTAATAATGTAATGAAATAAGTAAATAAATAGTTAAAAAATGTCCTTTTAAGGTAATTTAGAAAGGAATCAACAAATTAAAAAATAACAGAAATGGCCAAAAGTTAATTAAAATGGTCAGGGTTGAGTTGAAATTAGTTAGTATATTGGAGGTATTTGTTAAATAGTAAATAATATTTTTCATTAAAAATGGACAGAAAAGAAGATACATCAGAAAATTAAGGAGAGAGGCTTATAAAACACATAAAAGTTTAAAAAATTCACGTGACAGTCAATTAATTATATCACTATTTTGAAAGAATTTTAATATAATAGAGTGGGGGAAAATGAAACAAAAATTGGTTAAAAAAATTTTTTTGAGGAAAAAAAATTTTTTTAAATGAATGAAAAAAATTATTAAGGAATGAGGAAATAAAAATAAACAGTCAGTTGAACAATAAATTTTGATCAGTAATTTTTCGAATTTTTTTGGTTGTTAAAAATGGGAATTAGTAGTAATATATGGGCAATTAATAAATACTACTATTAAAAGACACTTACACATAAAAATAAATTAAAAATAAGGAACATTAAATTTAAAAAAAAGTTTAGAAAATAAGAAAAATATGTACAAGTTGGACATAAAGTATGTACTTATAACAAGATGCATAAAAGAGAATTATCTGGCATAACAAATAAATTACCAATTCTTTTTAAATTCCCAATTTCCCCTAAGAATGTTCGGAAATCAAGTCGGTTAGATTCTTGGTTTATAGTGTTTGTAACTTAAATCAAACAAAGCGAGCTGGACCATTTATGAAACCATCTGGAACTATAGCTATACTATAGCCTTTAAAAAGGGAATGTTTGGGCTGGATTAGTGGTAAGAGTGTTGAATTTGTTGGGTTGGTCTAAGTAAGAGAACGGGTCATTTTTGTGGTAAGATAACTGAGAGAATATAAAAAAGTCATCCTCATACTAAAATAAAATTTTCTTCATATACGGAAAAATAAAAACCGGAAAAAATAAAAAATAAAAAAAAATTTTTTAAATTTAAATAGTCATCTAAAATAATAAAAATATTTTTCAAAAAATAATATTTTTTTCTTTAAAAAATATTATTAAATTTAATAAAAACAAGGAAAATAAGAGTACAAAAAATAAAAATAAAATAAAATTTTTTTTTATTAAAAATAACACAACAAAAATAAATAAATCTTTATAAACTTGACAAATTGAATGATGTAAAACCCAAAAAAATTCGAGAAAATAAAATAATATTTACTTTTTGGTTTTGCGTAGGTTGTATGTAAATATAAACACTGAAAATATTTTTTATTGAATATAAAAACACAATAAGCAAATAGAAACTTTAAAACGTGTTTTGCTCAGGTGAAAATATTAAATATTATAAAAAGGGATTAGAATATAAATTTAAATAATGTTTGTCAAACACGTGTTTTGTCACTCTAAAACATTGATTGTAAAACATTTAAAAATTTTTAAAGTTGTATTGATTAAACATGTTTGTAAAACATCCAAACATTGTTTTAAAAACATATAAACTTGCTTTTTTAATAAAAACATTAACACTTTGTTTTGAGAACTTAGAAACTTGTTTGTAAAAATTAAAAAAATTGTTTGTGAAACATTAAAACATTGTTTTGGAAACTTAGAAACTTGTTTGTTAACAAACACATCCCAACTTTGTTTTTTGAAAACTTAGAAACTTGTTTGTTAACAAAAACATTCAAACATTGTTTTGAAAACTTTAAAACTTGTTTTTGTTCAAGTTTTATTTATTTAATTAATCTAACATGTTTTGTCTCTTCAAAACACTGAAACTTTTGTTGCGAAACACTTTAAAAACATTATTTTTGTGAACATGTGTATTTGTCTAAAAACATGTTTTGTCTCTACAAAACTTAATGTTTCCGTATTGTATTTTATAATATATGTTTTGTATTTTGTAGCTGAAATTCTCGAGAGAAACACGACCATGAGAATCCACGAGGGTAACACATGATTTTTTAAAAATTGAAAATAACACGTGTATCCGTTAAAGTAAACTAAAAGTCAATAAAAAAATAATTTTAAAAATATTTATTTATTTTTTTCTCAATTTATTGCTCAAAAATTTAATTTTTTTAATGATGATTATGATGTCTCCTCCCTCTTTGTTTACGCCTTCCTCTTTGTTTTCTGCTTTTGTTATTTTGTTGATTTTTTGGTCTTAGCATTTTATGCCAATCTGAGAATCCGATTGAATCGGGTGGGAATGAATATACCTTTTTTTGGAAATTTTAGAATTAAATAAAAAAATATTTAATTTAATTACCTCCATTACCCAATGGGAATATGAGTCGCGGGAGAGCATTTTTCTTGGAGATTTTGCGTACCTTTATTAAATTGAAATTGAATTTAGAGAAATTATTTTGAGGTTTTTAGCTTTAAGAATTTTTAGTTTTTATTAAAAAAAATTTTTTATTCTTCCCTTGAATTAATTTATTTATTAATTTATTTAACCCAGTTTGGGCGCAGGAGCGTTTGGCGCGGATTATTATAAATCAGTCTAATGATCATCCAGCTTCCTAAAATTTTGGGAAGATATTCTCAATAGTGTTATCTACAATCCTTAAAAATTTTAAAATTTTTTATTTTGTAGTTTTCAAATTATGAGCAAAAATATCTACCATACAAGAGAAAACGCGCATTTATTGCCTCTTTTTGTCCATAACTTTAAAAATAATTAACCAAAAATTCTGAAATTTTTATTTGAGATAGCTAAGGCCTTTTAATTATTCTATGCAAAATTTTATAGCCTAAAGTGCTCATTTTTCAATTTTATTTACATGCGCAAACAACTCCACTTACACCCCAACCAATTTATTATTCAAATTTTTCCCTCACCTGTCACCGGGAAATTCAATGAATAATGTCCAAGCTCCTTTTCTATTGACCTAGACAGAAAATTAAAAATAAATTTTGACAAAAAATAATATTTTGTATTGCCTGATAACTATTTGTAAATATTTGCCCAGGCGAGATGTGAAAATCAACTGTGTTGTCTACGCCAAGAAGTCGAAAGAATATGGCTTCACTTACATTATGATTTCTTTAAAAATAATTTTTTATTTTTTTTTTTGATTATTTAATTAATCTTGATTTAAATTTAATTTTATTAAGTAGACCGAAAATTTTCCGATTTTTGCTGCTCAAGACACGGGGGGAAGAGAACGCTTGGGGAAAAGGATGGTAGGATGGTTGCCCCCCCCCCCTAGAGAGCCTTATAATAATTTTTAAATGAAACCGAAAGCAATGAAATTTTGTAAAGACATCCTTAATAGTGTTATATAGTCTCACTAAAAATTTCAGAATTTTTGGCAAACTATTTGTTAGGCTAAAAAATTCAAACTTTGTAGGGATAAAAGTAGAATTTTTCTGTTAAATTTTGACCATAACTCTAGAAATAATGAACCAAAAATTCTGAAATTTTGCTAGAAGGTAGTCTCCAATATTAGAAAAATCTCCACAAAATTTCATTTTTTAAATGTGCAGGATTTTTTGAGATCAGAAATTTAAAAGCGCGCGCGTTAGCGTCCTTAGAACAACCTTTTTATTTTTTGACCATAACTTTAGAAATAGCCAACCAAAAATTCTGAAATTTTGCCCTAAGGTAGTCTCCAATATTAGAAAAATCTCCACGAAATTTCATTTTTAAGAGTCCAGGATTTTTGGAGATAAGGAATTTAAAAGCGCGCGTGTCATCTTTAATACAATCCTAAGCCCCCCAACAAAAATAAACTTGGAAATAAATTCAAAAAATTTTTTTAAAAATTTTTAAAAATTAATTTTACCTTATAGACAAAGTTAACCAATAATATTTGGGTCTATACGTTCTATTGGGATCTTTAAAATCAAAATAATCGTCATGAAAGAAATGGGCGGCCAAATCTTCTGGGATTATTAAAAGGCAAAAAATAAAAATTTTAAAAATTATGGAAGGCCAACAGAAATTTTTGTTTAATAAATTTAATAATTTTAGTTGTTTTATATTAGGCAGCATTTTTACTTTTTATTTTTTTACATGCGCAATGTAATCATAAATTTTATTTATTGAGAGAGAATGGCAGTGAAAAAAGGAAGAAAGTAGAAGAAGACGAATGTAGTAATTAATTATTAAAAGCTGTAAAAATAAAAGAAATTAAAGATTTTAAATTTAAATGTTAATAATTGGAAATGGATAGGATTTTGAGGGAAAGATTTGAAGAAATGATAGGTAGGGTTACCTAAACCCGATTGAGAAATTTTCCAAAATCCGACCTCTTGGTGAGCCTAGGCACAAGAAGTTTTTAATCTGAAAGACAATTCTGGAGTAAATGCTGATCTAGATCAGAGTGGACATTTTACCCCCTTTAGGGAGTACTTGCCTCATTTTTGACCTCACCCTTTTTATCTTTTTCGCTCACTTTATCCCCATTTCTGCAATGCCACCTTTTTGCCTCCTTTTTGATTTTTTTTTGAAAAAGGAAGAAAAATTCTAGATAAATACACCCACTTAATTACCACATCCAGGTCTATAATTAAGCGTAAGAATGTCTAATTTAGACATTCTTGGCAGCAGAGATGTGCCAGGTTTAGAAAAATGTCTGGTCTGGTTTCAGGATTATTGGAAACCAGAGACCATAAACCCATACTAGGCATGATTCAACATCTTCGAGTTGTGTCTAATGGTATCATTTTAGAGTCTATCTGTGTCTCTACAATGGACTGAGCGATTTCCGACTTTTTATAGCTGTCCAAGACCAAAAATTTTCCAAGACACAAGACAGAAAAAACAAAGGAAAGTCTTGGAATCAGTCTCAGTCGCTCACTTTATCCCCATTTCTGCAATTTGTCTCAGGACCAAGAGTCTTGGACAGCTCTACGGTTTTTAAGAGCCTAAACTAAATTTAGTTAATTTCTGGGGAGAAACCAAAAATCCTCTTAATTTTTAATTTAATTTAACAAAAAAATAAATCATTTACCTTTATTTAACAACAAAAACAAGACAAATTTAAATCAAATAAAAATATTTTTTTAATGGATGAGCACATTAAAGAGGCCAAAAAAGACGTTTAAAAATTTTAAAATAAAAAAAAATGGGTGCGCAGAAAGAACAAAATAAAATAAAGACGTGTCAAATTGAATGGTGATTTAAAGAAAAAAAATAAATTTTAAAAATATTTTTGTTGTTTAAAAAAATTTTTTGTTGATAAATGCTCTTAAAAATTAAGAAAAGTTAAAAATAAGTGTTAATCCAAGCTGAAATTTATTTTTAAAATTAAAAGAAAAATTTTAAATTAAATAATTAAGGGACATATTTTAATTTTTAAAAATTTTATAGAATTTTAGAAAAATAAAAAAAATTTTTTTAATATAAAAAATTTAAAATTATTTTTTCTAACCTGACTGACATCCTTAACTATTTTTTAGAACCTAAAACACTTGGGAATTACCTTAAAAAATTTATTTTTGTTAAATTAATTCATATTTTTAGAGATTATTTTTTTAAAATATTTTTAGGTTCCCAGCGAATCGAGGAGTACCCGTAAATTTAAATTAAATATATTACATATTTCTAATTTTTGATAATAAAAATAATTTTTTTCTAAATAGTTAAGGATGCCAGTTACGTTAGAAAAAAAATAATTTTAAATTTTTTATGGCCCTTTTAAACAATTAAAAAAATAAATTGTATGTCTGTCCCTCCCAGCATGATAAAAACAAAAAAAAACAACAAAATAATAAAATATATTTAGGTATTTTTATTTTTTTTTAATTTTGTTCTAGTTAGTTGTGGGGCAAAAACAAATTTAGAAAGAATTAAGGAAAAAATAAATTTTGTTTTTAAAATTTATTTTGGCGTTTGTCGGATTTACAGATCTATAAAAACGACAATTTTAATAAATTTATCTAAAAAATTTTTTAAAATAAATTTTAGTAAAATGTTAAGGACTCAAAATAATAATAAAAAATTATTTAATTTAATTTTAAAATTTATTTTAAATTTTTAAAGCAATATTTTAAGGAAAATGAAAAAATTTTTTTAATTAGAAATTTAATCAAAATCAAAAAATGGCTTTTAGGACAAAAAGAGGCAAACTTTTAAATAAAATAAAATAATTAATAACAAATTTAAGCAAAGTCAAAAAGTCAAAAAATTTCTTTAAAATAAATTTATTAAAAATTAAATAAAAGAAATACAAAAGTAAAATATATCTACACGTCACCTCCCAAAATTTAAAAGAAAAAATAAATTGAAATAATTAGTTGAAAAAAATTTTATTTTAGCAAAATTATTTTTCCTCTTAAACTTTGACAAATATTAAAAATGATTTGTCTTTTAATTTTGGCTTGCAAAATTAAATTTTAAAATTAAAAAAAAGGAAAAAATGTTTTTTAAAATTTGGCCAAAAAATTTTTTTTTATTTGAAACATTTTATTTTTTAAAAATAAAAAAGCAAGGAACAGAAAATAAGGGGGAAAAGAGGGAAGCAAAAAATCCCCCTTAACAATTTATCGTTCAAAAGTGGCCCTTTTTTATTTTTTCTTTTTTTTTTTCCGCATTTTGCACCAAAAGAGTGGAAAGAATTTTAAAGCGATTCTCGAGAGTTTTTACATAAATATTTTTAGTTGTTGGTCCCTAGAGGGGCCAATAACCACTAGTAAATATTAAAAGTGCGCACAAAGACAACAAGCATATTAAAAGAAAGGAACGTGGGGAAGGAAAAAAAGAAAAAAGGAAGGCCCAAAAGAAAGCAGAAGAAAATAAAATAGGTAAATAAATTGTTTGTATTTATTGAAAAAAATATTTTTTATTAATTATTTAAAATGTGCGCAAAAATAAATAAAATATTTGCGGACATTAATTTAAAAGAATAAATCAGAATTTATTAATATTTAAAAATTAATAAAATCAGAATTAATAATTAAATATGAAATAGATTAATAAATAATTAAAAATCAGAATTACCGTATTCCCTAAAATAAAGCCCGTGCTAAATTAGAGCCCCACTTTGGAGGATAGTTGAAAAATAGAGCCCCATGGGGCTTTATTTTAGGAAATACGGTATTTAAAAATAAAAAATAAAATAAATTGTTTAAACAGAATCAGAATAAAGAAGAAAAATAATAATTATACTATTTTGATAAAATCAGAATTAGAAGTCAGAATTTTATTAATTAAATAGGAATATTACAAATCAGAATAATTAATTAAAACCAGAATTATTGTAAATACAGACAAATTAAAAATCAGAATTATTAATCAGAATTAAAATCAAGAATTTTTAGTCAGAATTAAAAACCAGAATTTTTAATCAGAAGTTTTAAGCAGAATTATTTATCAGAATTTTTTAATCAGAATTAAAAACCAGAATTTTTAGTCAGAATTATTAATCAGAATTTACTAATCAGAATTATTAATCAGAATTTTCTCATCAGAATTATTGACCAGAATTACTAAACGGAATCCTAAAATCAGAAATAAAGAATCAGAATACCTAATTTAAAACCAGAATTATTAATTACAAATAATTTTTAATCAGAATTTTCTTGCTACCGTCGCTATAAAAATATAAAATTCCCCTAAAAATAAATAAAAATGTAAATAAAGTTTGAAGCTTAAAGTAATTTATTTATTTTTATTTTGTTTTGCATAGTAGTTCTTCCCCCCTCCATTTCCTGTCGTATTTTATTTATCTTAACAAATTTCGATTTTTTTTTGTTTTACTTTATTTTTTCTTTTTAATGCTTCAACTTGTCTATGCCAAAACAACAAATAAATAATTTATTTTTTAAGTTAAGTAAACAAAAGAAAATTTAAAAAATAAAAAGGAACATTTTTAGAGAGATTCTGATTTTTAAATTATATAAAAATCAGAATTATTTAAGGGAAACTACTAAATATCAGAATTATTAAATCAGAATAAATCAGAAAAAAATAAAGACCAGAATAAATAATAAATCAGAAAGAAATGAAAAAATAATCGAATTATTAACTCAGAACCAGAACAAATAATTAATAAAACAGAATAAATAACCAGAAAATAATCGGAAATAAAAATTATTATTAAATATCAGAATTAAAAAATAAAAAATCAGAATAATTAAATAGTATACTTTATTAAATAAATGCAAATCAGAGGGACTGGGCCGTTTTGGCGCGGGGCCGTTTTGGCGCGAGCTTATAAGATAGCGAGTTGCTTATCAAAAATGATCAAATTTTGCAATAATAACTCTCATGCCTTTATCTACGTTCTCCAAAAATTTCAGAATTTTTGGTCAAGAATTTAGGAAATTGTGGCCAAAAATGTTGATTTTCTGAAAAATGCCTAATTTTTCGAGGTCTATCGACTATAACTTCGGAAACATTGAATGAAAAATTCTGAAATTTCTGGAGGAGGTAGTCAAGGATGTTAAAGAAATTCGAGAAAAATTTTATAAATTTAGGTCTCGCCTAAGTGCCACTTTTTTGTTCTCGCGCCAAAACGGCCCGGCGCCAAAACGACCTCAACCCAAATCAGAATATTACATAATATTATCCCCGTATTTTTAAATAAAATAATTTTTAAATATATATTAATTTCCTCTAAATATATTAAATTTCAAAAATTCCAAAAAATTACTATTTTTATTTAGGAATGTCTTTTTTAATTTTAAAAAATGAGTAGGAGGAGTTTATATAAAATTTAAAATAAAAGAACAGTCAGATTGATATTTGAGACGAAAAAAATATAAAAAATGAACGCAAGGTAGCTGAGTACATTTTTCGTGTAAATTGTTATTTTAAATATTTGTGTTGTTCTTTATAAAATCAGAATTAGAAAAGTCAGTAAAAGGCTAGAATCAGAAGAAATTTAAAAATCAGAATTAAAATCGGAAAATATTTAAAAAATCAGAATATAAGTAAAAAAACAGAAAAACATTGGAACAAAATCAGAAAAAAAAGGAAAAATCAGAATATAGGTCAGAAAAAAAATCAGAAAAATAAGAATAAAAATAAGAATAAGAATCAGAATATAAGTCAGAAAAACAAGAGAATAAAAATCAGAAATACGAATCAGAATTTTTTCATAACTAAATATTTTCATATTTCATTTTAGGGAACTTTTTAAAAAAATAAAATTAGGGCTTAATTAAAAATTAATTAAAATTTTAAAATTATTTTTTACTTTTTCTTTTAAGATTATTATTTTTTTATTTTTGCCATAAAAATAAATAAAAATTTTTATTTTACTCATCTCGCGCATATAATCGATTGTGTAATGGATATATTATTTATTTGGACGCCAGAGGCAAAAAAATAATAAAATAAAATATTTAAAGGTATAATTAAAATTCTTTTTGTTGATGAGTGTGTCCATTGAGAGTCTCTCCTTCCTCTCTCGTCTGTATAGTTGCGATTGAAAAATTAGAAAAAAGGAGGGAAAAGGTGTTGGAATTGTCCCAAAAATTGAGAAAATAAAAAATAAATTAAATAAAAATATTAAAAAATTATTTAAAGAAAAAATTTTTTGTCACCCCTACAATTTAGCTACAATTTTTTAACTAAAAATATTATAAAAACTACATCGGTACATTTCCGTTCTGCCATCTTCCCTTAAATTAATACTAGAAATGTAATAAAAAATGCTGAATCCACCACTCTTTTTTCCGGAAATGACTGTGGACCGGAAATGCCTGTATAGGGCTCGAAATGGTCAAAACCATAGGCAATTTTTAGCTATAGGAAAACAATCCATCTAGTGAAATAAAGCGAGAGCCGAATTTTCACGAAGCGAAACAATCCATAAACCCGGAGCCTTAAATAAAGGTATCTACCAGGGATGTGCCGAAACAGATTTTAAAAAGCGAAAGACGGAAGACGAAATGGCACACCCCTGGTATCTACCTCCTTATCAGGATAAGATAGGGGATAAAGAGTATCTTGAAATTCTAAATAAATTTATTTCTAGATAAGGTAAAGGGAGTAGGACTAATGTTCGGCACGATTCAATATTCCCGCAAGTACTCCCGACAGTCTTGACTCAATACTTTTAGGTACTTCCGATATTGCTTTTGAAAAATCCATTTGCCGACCACTAATTAGGACACAAAATTTGGCCAAATAAAATAAAATTAAAAAGAATGAACCTAAAAAATATTTTTTTAAGTTTTGTTTCTTTGAAAATAAAAACAATAAAAAATAAAAGACAAAAAAAACAATAAAAAAAAGAGTGAGAACCCTGAAATTTTATAAGGCTGGGAAATTAACAAAAACCGGTCGTTTTGAGCCATTCTTTTTTTAAATAAAAACGTTACTTTTTTTGATACTAAAAAATAAATAAAAATAAAAATACACACAATCATCCACTTTTATTTTTTTTTAAACTTGAGAGCCTATCATTAAAAGGTTTTAAGATGTTTTGAATGATTCATTTAGGGAAATAAAAGAGAAAATAAAAATTAAAAAAAATTTATTTTTAAAATATTATTGTTGATAATTTGGAAAAACTTGGGAGGGGAAAAATTGGAAAAAATTAGAAAATAGGGGAAAAAAATCTGAATGAGTTAACATTTTTATTTTTTAAAAATATTTTTCTTTTTAACAGGCATCCTCATAATTTCCTAATGGGGCGGTGATAAGGATTAGAGATCGGACCGTACCGTACTACGGCCGTATTTAACGGTATTTCTCGGTATTACAGTCGGTAATACGGTACGGCAATTCATCGGTATTATACGATATTACGCTACGGAATACGGTACGGAACAAAATTCCGATCTCTAATGAGGATGTCTGTTAGATCATCATCCCGCACAAACACATATCTAATTAAAACAGACACGGCAAAAATATTTTTAAATTTTAAAATTAATAAAATTCTTTATTTGCTCTTTGAATAATTTTAAAAAATGTTCCTTCTTCCCATCTTTATTTCTAGCAGACATCTTCATCGTTTTCCTCGGGTTTCTCGTTCAAATCAAAAGGATACTCATTTACATTTATTTGATTCGTGCAATTCTCGGGAATTTTGTTTGGCTCTTCTACCACAGTCTGATTTTGATCATCCACATTGGTTTCTGTTTCGCCTTTATTATTCTCTTCCTCCTCTTGATTAAAAAGACATTTTTCTTCAAAATGAATGCTCTCTTCGTAAACGATAGGCAATTTCCCTTTACTTCTACCACCATCATCATTCTGTGTATTAACCAGGGTTGCCGCCCGAAACCCGAAACCCGAAACCCGAAACCCGGCCTTTTTTTGTACCCGAAACCCGATATCCGAAAAGAAAATTTTGCAACCCGAAACCCGAAACCCGTACCCGATATTTTTTTCAACCCGAAACCCGTGACCCGAAATTGGTTAAAACCCGAAATTTCTACCCGAAATCTTAGCCTTACCCGATTTTTTAAACTTAGAAAATTAGAAATAAATATGTTTATTTTTTTCCAATCTAATTTATATTAGTGGGTGGTCGAATGGTTAATGTGTTAGGCCTCACCCAAGTCGTTATGTGGGTTCGATGCCTTGTCAGAAGACGAGGAATATTCAAATTTTTCTTTCCATAAATAACTTTATTTTATGATTTAATTTTGTTTTAAAAATTTTTCTATTTTTACCCTCTAAAATTCTTAAAAAATTTTCCTTTGGCCACTAAAAATTGAATTTTTTGCCTAAGGCCTTCCGAAATTTTCAAAATTTTCGCCTGCGGCGCTGAAATAAGAAGAAATATTTCTTTAAAATTCTCAAAATTTTGCCTGCGGCGCAAAAATTGGAAAAAATTTGGCTTTTTGGTCTTCCAAAATTCCCAAAATTGAAAAGCTGAAAACGGGAGAAAATTGGAGTATTAATGGAAATAAAGCGCCTCTATATCTCCTTTAATCCATGATATATCATTGCAAGAATTATATCAGAGGATATGCATATATCAAGGTGGATTTGAAGGCTCTCCTAAATTTATTCTTTGATATCCCTCTCAATACCAAGATATCGTTGTTAATCCCAAAATCCCAATCTCTCTTTAATCTCTTTGCCTCTCTCTATATCACACAAAATCCTATTATGCAACATAGCTTGCGCCTTACAATTTAGATCACAAATACCTGACACTCGAAAATAACCCGAATTTTTCGCCAAACCCGAAACCCGTACCCGAAATTTTTGCCAACCCGAAACCCGATACCCGAAATGAAAATTTTATGACCCGAAACCCGAAACCCGTACCCGATATTTTTGCCAACCCGAAACCCGTGACCCGAAATGAAAACGCTCCAACCCGATACCCGAAACCCGTACCCGAAGATTTTTTGTACCCGCGGCAACCCTGGTATTAACAAAAGAAGTTTTTTCATTATTATCAGAATGAATATTTCCTACTTTTGGATCGACATTTTTTAAGTTTTCTTTTTTATTTTTCCTTTTTTCTCGGCATTTTCGTTCGGATTCTCTCCTCTTTTCTTTATTATTTTCTCGGTATTTTCGTTCAGATTCTTTCACCTTTTCTTTATTATTTAGACGGTATTTTCGACTCCATTTTTGCTGCTTTTCTTTATTATTTTTTCGGTATTCTCTTATCTTTTCTTTATTATTTTGGTAGTAAATTTTCATATATTCACTTCTATTAGATTTTTCTTTATTGGATATAGTTCTGCCTTTCTTTGAAATTGTATCTTTTGGTTTTAACGTTTTTTCATCTTTTTGAATTTGAGCATTAACCGAAGATTCAGCCCCATCGTTCTCCTTTGAGGTTTCCCCAACTCTAGTTAACTCATTTTGATTTTTATTATTTTTAACAGAATTAATTAAACTCCAAAATATCGCGTTAAATGTTAAAATTATTAAAATACTATCAAGTTTCATCTAAATTAATTTAAAAAATTTATTTAAAATATTTTATTTACTACTAATTACCCAAAAATAATAAATTTTAATAAATTTTAATTTATTGAATTTAAATAAGCAATATAGATGAATAAACACATTGGGTAAATTATTTTACATTTCATAATAAAAAATATAAAGTACAAATGGAAGTACAAAAGTATTTATTTCATGCCCTTCTTTCATTTCCTTTTGTACTTTTATCTTCCATTTGTACTTTATATTATTTATTATGAAATGTAAAATAATTTTCCCAATGTGTTTTTTCATCTACCTATATTTATTTAAATTCAATAAATTAAAATTTATTATTCTTGGCTAAATAGTAGTAAATAAAATATTTTGAATAAATATTTTTAAATTAATTTAGATGAAACTTGATTGTATTCTAATAATTTTAACATTTAACGCGATATTTTGGAGTTTAATTAATTCTGTTAAAAATAATAAAAATCAAAATGAGTTAACTAGAGTTGGGGAAACCTCAAAGGAGAACGATGGGGCTGAATCTTCGGTTAATGCTCAAATTCAAAAAGATGAAAAAACGTTAAATCCTAAACCTAAAATTGCAAAAAAGGTCACAACAAAAGGTAATCGTCAAGAAGAAAAGAAGCTTAATAAAAGTGAAAATGATAAGGAAAAGAGACGAGAAGCTGACCGTAAGTATCGAGCAAAAAATAAGGAGAAAAGGCGAGAATACGACCGAAAATACCGAGAAAATAATAGAGAAAAGAAGCGGGAATATGACCGAAAACGTCGAGAAAATAATAAAGAAAAGTTGAAAGAATATAGCCGAAAATACAGAGAAAAAAGGAAAAATAAAAAAGAAAACTTAAAAAATGTTGATCCAAAAGTAGGAAATATTCATTCTGATAATAATGAAAAAACTTCTTTTGTTAATACACAGAATGATGATTTTAGAAATAAAGGTAAATTGCCAATATTTTACGAAGAGAACATTCATTTTGAAGAAAAATGTCTTTTTAATCAAGAGGAGGAAGAAACAGAAACTCATATGGAAGAGCAAAATCGAACTGTGGTGGAAGAGCCAACTAAAATTAATACCATAAATCAGACAGATTCAGATGAGGAAGATTATCTTCGTTATCTGAACGATAAACCTTATGATGAAGATGAGGACGTTTGAAAAGAAAGAAATTAATTTGAAGAAAAAATTTTCAGAGAGAGTATATTATTTTTTCGGGTTATTTTTGCTTTTTCTCGCTATTATCGTTCTTTTCTTTATATTTCTAGTGATTTAAATGATTAAAAGTTTTGGGTCCGGTTTGTAATGTTGTGGGGTTGGGGGTTGCTGTGAAGGGAAGGGAAAGGAAGGGCACGATTCGACGGCAGCTCCGGTTATCCTAGTCCACGGAAGAACTAGGGAAGGAGCCCCGGATGGTTTACCCCCAAGTTAAATTAATAAAATTAAAAGCAAATTTAAAATAAAATTTATTTAATTTAAATATGAAAGACAAAATATATGTGTGGGGAAGAAGGGAATTAAGTGATTTGAATTAAAAGTGAATGTTGTTCGGCTGGCAGGAAAAGGCCACGCATTATACCGTTACAGGTTCTTATCTAAATAAGCTCTTTATAAGTCGAACTGAGATGAGATCTCTCAATCATAAGCTTAGTTATCGAGAATCTCGATCTCTTCTCTTCAAAAGTCTCAACTAGCCTTAAAGTTCCCTCCTTGGACTAAAAATTATTTGAATCCTCTCTATGAGAGGCCTAAAACTTTACTTTTAATAAATTTTAAACTCTGATTTTTAAACTCTTTCTTTTCTCCATAAATTCAAGAGTGCATTAATAAGCCTATTTATTTATTCACATTTTCAAAAATAACAAAAAATATTTTCTTTTTATTTTTTCAAAATTGGAGGCATTCATTTTACTCTTTTGAATTTAAATCCTTTAAATTTTAAAAAAGAACAAAGTTTAATAAATTTATTTATTAAAAACTCTTAATATATGTTTTTCTATACTTTTTTAATAAAATAATTTATTACAAAATTGTTATTTTTTCTAAAAATAGAAAAAATAAATTATGAACTAAAATATAAAATGAATTATGGAGGGTAAGCTAGTTAAAGAAAAAATTTTTTTTTGAATACTAAAAAATTTTTGGAAAACTCGAGACACCCTAAATTGCACACTAGATTTATTGTTAATCTATACAAATAATTTGGAAGATATAAAGAGTATAAAACAGACAAAATTAAAAAAATTTTTTTGGAGTCCTACACTTCGGAGACAAACGAAAAGTTCGAGGTTCGGGTTTTGTCGGTTTCGGGATGAAATTTATTCGAGGTTCGTGGTCTTCATTTTTCTTCAATTTTGGATTAAAAATAATAGTTTTATGTTGGAGTCAGATGAAAAAAGTTTGGGGAGGTTCTCCGGGATTCAGAACGTCGGGAATGAGGAGGAATGGAAGGGATGGCTGGAAAAATTAAAAAAAAATCGAGATGGAACCCTATCTCTCCTCATAAAATAAATATTATATACAAAAATAAAAGACGACACTCTTAAAAGAATTTTTTTATTTTTCTTAAAAATTCCAAAAAAAAAATAAAAAGCACTAGAATTAAATGTTTGTTTATATATTACTCAATTTCAAATTTTGAAATTTGATAAAATAAATTTTAGAAAAAAAATTTATATTATTTTTTGGTGTGTTTATTTATTTTTACTTTGGGAACGAAAAATTTTTTTTTAATTTTTAAATTATTTTTATTTAAAAAATGTTTTTTGAAAGTCATCCAAAAATTGAGGAGGAAAAAAAATAAATTTTATTTGATATTTATTCTTTTTTATGACGTTTCTAAAAATTTATTTTTTTAAAAAAATTGGGGAATAAATGAATGATAAATAAATTTTTTTAAAATAATTTTTTGGAAAGGATTTTTAAATTTAATTTTTCGTTTTAATATCACAATCGAGAAATCAAAAAAAAAATTTTTTCGATTAAATTAAATGCTAAAAAAATTTTTTTTGATTAAATTGAATCTTTAAAAATTGAACTTCAATGCCAAAAAATTAAAAGTTTTGCCTAAGACATTAAAATGCGACGAAAAACACGTCTTCGTGACACTGCCTCTCCGAAAATTTACCCGAGATTTTTTATCATTTTTTAATTCGAAATGAGAAATTCCTTCTATTTTTCAGCAAAAATATTTTTTGATTAAATATTGCCCTCAATGATACATATTTGCCAAATTAAAAACTCTTCCTAACAACGATCAACAATCAACCCCTGACAACGATCAATCGCACACAGCTTCCATGCCCAGCTTATTTTGAAGGGGATCACTAGTAAATCCCCGCCCCAAAAATTAATGTCAATAAAATAAGTGCACTATGCGCTCTTAATATTTACTTAACTAAATTTAATTGAATTATTGCATATTGAGTAAATTTTGGATGATAAGGGGACGTTAAGAATAAAATTTAAATAAATTTTAAACACAAAATTATTCCCTTTCTTTTATTTTAAAATAAAAAAAGTCTAAATTTTCTTTGTAAATTTTTTTATAATTTTTTGTGAAGTTCAGACGTGAAAAAAATTCATTCGGGAGAAATACAACTCTAAAAATTTTTTTAAATTATTTTTAAAAATAATTTGGCACTTTTGGGATATCCCTACGGACTTTTGCGGACTTTTTCTGCGGAAATACACTACATTTAATCTTGTTTGGTTGACAAGTGCATAGGAGAGAGGGAGTGAGAAACTCTGACCATTCCGTACAGTTGTGTCCACAAAAAAATCCGTAAAAGTCCATAGAACCCACAAGTACCATTAATTTTCCTTAAATTATCAAAAAATTTAAACAAATTAGTTCTAAATTAATTCTAAAAAATTTTTTTCCTTCAATTTATTTAACACAAAATTTGTATATAAATAAAAATGAAGAGATCGAATAAATTTTAATTTGAAAAAAGAATTTTTTTAATTTTTGGCACATTGCTTCGTCTAAATTATAGTGTATTATGGCCTGTATTTATTTTTCTGTACCCGTTTAATCAACAAAATTTTACATAAACTTCCTTTTTGTAATTGCCACCAATCGTCTGAAAAATAAAAAAAAATCTTATTAATAAAAAAAAATCAGAATTATTTATAATATAAGAATAAAAATCAGAATTAAAATCAGAAAAGTTGAAGGGACTGGAGGGGGCGTTCTGGCGCAGATCAGGTAAGGCGCGCGTCTATAAATGGAATCGTTTCCGTTAACTTTTAGGTATGAAATTTTTTTCTTATATTTCTAATATTCTTAACTACCTACTCTTAAAATTTCAGAATTTTTTGAGCAGAATTTCAGAAGTTATGGCCAAAAAACTAGCAAAAATAAGCATTTTTATCACATTTTTGGCCATATCTTCTGAAATTCTGAACAAAAAATTCTGAAATTTTTAGGTGAGCTAGATAACACTATCAATGATAAGTGTACAAAATTTCAAGAATTTATCTTTATTTTTTTTTGATTTTATAGCTTTTAGCGTCAACGTCGTTAAGAGAAGTCTAAAATACCTTAAATTCTGTTTAAGTCCCCCTCCACTATTTTTTGGTGTATTTGTTGGACGTTGTTGTCTTTGTTGTTCTTCTTTTTCAACAAAAATTGTATTATTAAAATTTGGATTAATATTTTGATTTTGTTGTTGTTGTGCAATATTTGTTGTTATTACCCTTCGGTGGTGACATAAAGCATGTAAAATAGCCAAATCAAATACTTCCTTTAAATATTTCAGAATTTTTATCAGAATTATTTTTAAAATTAATTTCAGAATATTAACAGAATTAGTGGAAAGATGACAAAATTAAAATCAGAATTAAAATCAGAATTATTTCAGAATTAATTTAAAATCAGAATTGAAACCAGAATTAATTTCAGAATTTTTTTAAAAATCAGAATTAAAATCAGAATTTTTATCAGAATTATTTCAGAATTAAAAAAAATCAGAATTGAAACCAGAATTAATTTCAGAACTTTTTTTTAAAAATCAGAATTAAAATCAGAATTAATTTAAGAATTTTTTTTTCAAAAAATCAGAATTAATTTCAGAATTTTTATCAGAACTATTTTCAGAATTAGCACAAAAAATCAGAATAAATTTTAGAATTTCAGAATTATTATCAGAATTAATTTCAGAACAAAATTAAAAAAATACCTTTAAATTTTGTTGTGTAACGGCAGAACATTCGAGCCAATGCAATTGTAGTCTAGAAGCTAATTGTCCCATTACGCTAGGTTCTATAGCTTCTCCTCGACGAGTGTTCATTCTCTGATCGGATTGAGTTCCAACCAAAATAACTGTGAGGATTTTTTGAATCAAGAGGGATTTTTTAAATTAATTTTTGAAACATTTTTCAAAGAAAAATAAAAAAAAATTTTTTTTCCGAAGTTCAAGACTATTTTTTAAATAATTTATTGCCTAAATAATTATTAAAAAATTTTTTTAATAATTTTACTAGGCGCAGAAGGAGCTAAAGCACGTATCTCTGGCAGCCAACGTTGCGTAGCTGAACGTAATGTGGATATTTTTGCAACACTAAAAATTAATTTTTTATAATTAAAAAATTTTTCCCTTACTTAAAACACAACAAAAAAACAGAAGCATCAGCATAACCCAAAGGGCGAATTGTATCAAATTCTGACCTTCCTGCTGTGTCACACAATTCTAACCGCAAGGGTTTTCCATCTACACAGACTGTTACTTTAAAAAGAAAGAAATCTGAAATTTATTATTTCTGGTATTTATTCTTAAAATTAATTCTGAAAAAAATTCTGAAAATAGATCTGCGATAATTTTAAATTTAATAAATTAATAATGTTACCAGAATAATTGTCAAATGCTGTTGGACAATAACGCTCTAAATTATTTTTAATTTTATTTAAATTTTTTAAATGATTTTTAATTAAATCTTAGTTAATTTTATATCATTTCTAAAATTTAAATAAAATATTTAATTAAAATTTAAATAACCACAAAATCCATTTCTTGTGTATGAAACAACTAACGAAGTTTTTCCTACGCAGGGATCCCCAACTAGTACACAACGAAGATGAAGCATTAAAATATTTTTTTAATTTTTATTTTTATCTGAATTAAAATAGGGAATAATTTTTGAATTTAAATTAAATAAAA